AAAGTCCATGAGCGAGCCGAGGTGGTCCTTCCAGATCACCGCGACAACGACGCAGACGGCGATCATGGCCGTGCGGAGAATCGCGGCCTTGGTGTACGCACCCGGCGCCTTGTACGCGTCAATGGCTTCGTCGTGCAGCTTCATGTCGTCGTCCTTGGCCTTGCTGTCGGCCGCGTAGTGGGTCGCGCCGTCGATCGCCGGCGTCTCAATATCGGCCTCCAACGCGTCGCCCTCGTACTTGTGCAGACCAAGGACGAGGCGCTCGAGGATCTGGAAGACGGGGAAGAAGATGACCGAAAACGCGATCGTCACGTGCAGCTGCATGAAGAGGAAGCTCAGAATGACAAAGCCGCGGCTGGCCTTGAAGCCAAGACCCGACCCCGCAATCGAGAAGAGGAGGTTGCCCGGCGTTTGGCAGCCCGTCGAGAAGACACCGAGGATCGAGACGAGGAAGAAGAAGACCGAAATGATGGTCTGGGCCACGAGAATGAGGCGCGGCATGCGCTCGGGCTGCGAGTGCTCGTGCTGCAGCGTCGGAATGATGATGCACGCGCCGTACGCAAGCGCCAAGTTGCCAAAGACGGTCGTGACGCTCTTGAAGTCAATCTCGGGCGACGGCGGTGAGATGCCGCTCGGGTTTTCGTCCTTCATGTTGCTGATGAGAAGCGCAAGGGCAATGCCATCGGCAAAGATCGTGCCAAGGCAGCCGGCCGCCGCCATGCCCGCGCCTTCCTTCATTGTCGGCACGAGGCAGACGGGAAGAAGCGTGACCGCCATCAAGACAATCCACGTCGTCTGCGAGAACGAGTCGGGGAAGAGGATCACAAGGAGCGAGCCGCCGAGCACCAAGAACACAATCGGGAGCAAAGTGCAGAGCACGCACTGCGAGATCGTGGTGAGGTACCGGCCGGGGCGGCCCATGACCCACTCGCCGACGTCACCAAACGTAAAGACCGACTTGGGCGCCGCGAGAAGCACCTTGGAGAGGCACCACGTCGCGTATGTGTTGGCAATCGCCATGAAGAAGAAGGCGACGGTGGCCCAGACGTAGCCGGCGCTCGCGTAGTTGCCGGCCAGACCCAAGGAGCCGACGCCGCAGACGCAGCAGAAGATTGAGAAGCACATCTTGAAGTCTTCAATCGTAAGGAACGCCATGGTTGTGCAGGTGTGCGGCCCAAGGCAAATGGAAAACTGGAAGACTTTGGCCGTGACCGCCGCAGTGACGCCCATCCAGGTGCTGCAGTTGAAGTTGGGTTGAAATTGCCCCATCTGGTTTTAAGGGCGTAACGCGAGCGGCTGCTATTTCGACGCAAGGCTCGCTCTTTCACATTGGTGTGTTGACACGACGACATTGAAACTCGAGGTGTCGCGATGCGCTTGGGTGCGATGGTCTATACATGGGCTATACTTATATTGGCACCGCTATCGATCATCAATGGTGCGGTCCCGATGACCCAAGAGATGGAAAGCTTTTGAATTCGGAATAAGGTGATTCGAGTCTGCGACGCACTGCTTGTGGTATTACTACATGCGTGATAGTTGGATTTGTCGGAAGCTCTGATATGTGGGTTGGCTACTTGTAAGAAGGTGAAAATTCACAGAGGTTGGGATCGAGGAACTCCTTGGTGCATGCGGACCTGCTCACATGAGAGAGATACGCAGGTTGTGTTTGTACACAGGTAGGTGAGTTCTTTGGTGAGCGCCTTGCTCTTCTCGCACGAGGAGGCAGCGACGTGCGGGAGCAAACACGCAGGCGTCAGAGACTCTCTTGTTGACGTCAAGCGCTCTCGCTCTGGTGAATGATGTGATGTAGAGGACGCCTCCGCGCTTGTTTATCGCGCTGCGTAGCGAATCGTTGCAAAGGGAACACGACCGACCCATTGCGAACGCCGCAGCCAAGTGCGAGCTTCGTCGAAGGGGAAACCATCCAGCGCAGTAACTGAGCAAATTGGTCAACAATTTTGTCCTTTCTAGCGGTTTGTAAGCGGTTAGCCAATGCCAACGACCAGTGTATGACTACGGGACGCGTTTCTGGCCGCGCTCGCTTGGCCGTGGAATCGTGTGGGCCGTCCACATCCCACGGTTACCCATCCCTATCACCATATGTTTCATACTGAAACCGAATCAGTTTCTTACAACAAGCCTGCATACTTGAAGCGGCCGGCTCTACTTCCGCGTATCCGACGCAGCACACTTTTGGAGGCCATTGCGAAGAGTTTGCTGCTTGCAGCAATGATTTCGTAGTGATGCAGTAGGATTCGATTTGAGCCTCGCAATAGGCTACCGTCGCCCTCAGCGCTTCGAGGCGGTCGCAACGAAGGAGCTTTGCGCACCCAGGTGTGCTTCAATTCTGCTTCAATTCGAAAAAACGCAACTCGGATTGCGCTGGAAAGATCGAGGCCTCACCCAAAATGCTCGGTGAGCCAAAGACAGCCGGATGCACTCTTGGGAGGGTGGGCTGCACTCTTGGCGATTGCCTCCGTTTTCATGGAAACGTAGACGCGGACTGTGCTCAGAAATCGATCTTAGCATGGGCGCCCCTTCGACGGCTTCCTCGACGTACGGGCGTCTGAGAAAGCCAGTCGCATTTTTCGCTCGACGAATCGCAGGTCGCGTAGCATGTGCCAGTGCTGTCGCAGCCGTGGTTGTGGCCGCGTTTTGGCGCGCAAGCCAATGAAAAGCATTACAACCATTTCTTATGCACCAATCAGAGCCCTTTAAAAATCTGATTGGGCAAAACGACTGCAGAGACTACGTTGGGACATTGTGGTACAAGCCCTGTGTCGCAGTTGCGGATAGGCGACCACCTAGGTGGAGCCAATGAATTGTGGCTGCGATACTCTTCCGGGACGACCAAGCCGGCTATAACCTGGGTGGTTCGGTTGCGAGCCCGGATCTCTTTACCTTATCGAAGCCCTCTCCATACAAAGACCAAGACACGAGCTCTCGCGACGCCAAAAGTTCACGCTAGGCCCGTGTCCGCCACACGGCTACGCCCTTGGGTGCGCTCAAACCGTCGCTCTGCAATTTAATGCGTCGCCGACGGAATACCTTGGTGCCTGTATACCCCACGCGGCTGGCCTATAAAAGGGCTCGCTGCCGTACCTGTTTGAAGGAATTTGGCGAAAAAGATCCTTGGTTTGCGGAAGGTTGAAATGGCGGATAACCAGTGCATCAGCTGGCACCGCACGTGGTGGAGCTTCAACATCAACATCGTATGTGCAGAGTACATGTCGATGGCTACAACGATTTGAGGTCGAGCTCTCTTCGTTCATTCCGGTTTTTGCCTTTGGCAGCGCATCCCATCGCAACCACCAAGGCGTTCATGACCACGGAAGATCTCAAGATCGCCTTCTCCATCTTCTGCTGCGTGTGCGGTGTCGGGTCCCTCGGCCTCCCGGGCAACTACGCCAAGGCCGGCTACATGTGGGCCTCGGTGGCTTTTGTGTTCATGGCCGCCGCCAACACGTACGCAACGTGGTGCATCGCCAAGGTCATGCTTGTCGCGCCTGCCAACATCTTTACCTTCGGCGACCTCGGTGAGTGGGTCATGGGCAAGCCGGGTCGTTGGATCACGACCGTGCCGCAAGCCATCATGTGCACTTTGCTCCCGATCGTGTTTTTGGTGCTCGGCGGGTCGCTCCTTGTGGTGCTCTTCCCCGACTCGTTCTCGCAGTCGACGTGGATCGTCTTGATGGCGGTCACGCTTCTTCCCGTCTGCCTCATCCCAACGCTCAAGGAAGGTGCTGGCGCCGCCGCCGCCGGCTGCCTCGGCACGATCTTTGCCGACGGCATTGCGCTCACGCTCCTCATCACCAACATGAACGACTCGAACGTGCAGAGCATTTCGCCGCCGACGCCCGAGCTCACGTTCGAGTCGGTGACAACGGTCTTCGGCAACCTGGCGCTCGCGTACGGTGCGGGTATCATCATCCCGACTCTGACGCGCGAACACAGCGAGCCCGCGCGCATGCCCAAGCTCATTTTGATCACGATGGGTGTCATCTCGGCCTTCTTCCTCCTCGTGTCGATCCTTGGCGTGTACCTCACTGGCTGCCAAACGCCCGGCAACCTCCTCTTCGCCGTCGCCAACTCGAACCTCGGCTTCACGGCCAGCCGCGGCTTTGTCATTCTCAGCTTCCTCTTCATGCAGCTCCACGTCACGATTGCCTTCTCGGTCGTCATGTTCCCGGTCTTCCAGATCCTCGAGCGCGTCTTCTTTGGCATGCACGTGTACTACATTGAAGAGCACGTGCTCGACATTGAGACGCCGGCGCTCGAGTCGTTCAAGCCCGAGGAAAAGCCGATCGAGCACATTGACCCCGCCGAGGCCTACAAGGCGCCGGGCGCCTACATGAAGGCGGCTATTATGCGCATCTCGATGGTCGCTGTGTGCTCCGTGGTCGCGGTGATCTGGAAGGACCACTTGAATGCGCTTATGGACTTTGTCGGTGCGTCGACGTCGTGCTTGGTGTGCATGATTCTCCCGATCGTCTTTTACCTCAAGACGTTCTGGCCAACCGTCTCGGCGCCCGAGAAGGCATTCGGCATCGTCTGCATCCTCATCTCGTGCTTCCTCGCTGTCTACGTCTCGATTAACACGGGCAAGGAGCTCTTTGCGCCGACTCACCCGGACCCGACGATCCTCTTCCCGCTCTGCCCGGCCAAGTACCAAAAGGTCGTCTTCACCAACACGACGCACTACTCGGTCGCCCGCGCGCTCTTCGAGTACTAAGTCGCTGCATTTTCGTATCTTTTCTCCTTCTGTTTTGCGTCGAATTACCATCAAATTAACAAATTAAATGAATTGGATCTCCCAGTCAACAAACTTTTACTAATTCGCACTGACGGCAAGGCAAGACCATTTCAACTACATACGTAATATATACACTGTTGTCCTTCCGGTATTTTGAGGCAAATTCCTCAAATTTCTCATTATATAATAACGTCTCGTGCTCCGATGACGATGTTGAGAGCCTACCAGCCCAGCAAGTGTACAGTACTAGGACTGGGCGTTTTGCTTGATTTATGTACATATTCAGATGTGTTGAGCGTAGCGTCCTGCGAAAGACTCTGGCGGAGGACAAGCTACTGCACTCGATCGTATCAACATATCAAGTTAGACATTATACGTGTCGGTAGCGTTCCTTGCGCGTTGACACAAGTCCGCGTACGAGCGCGGGCTCAGCGGCAGATCAAAGTCCGACTCGGACTCGTCGTCGCTCAGAGTGAGGTCCACAACGACAGGCGGGCTCCTCGAGAGATCGATGAAATTTTGTGTCGCGCGTTTGCTGAACCGGTACGGCCAGCTGACCTGCCGCTGGGTCGTTGTCTCTCTTGCAGCCGCTTCTTCTGGTGCTGTCACGGGCTCTCGACCTGCTACCGACGTGGCCATTGTGGGTGCCATGGGCTGCGTCACGACCTTTGTGGGCGGCACCACAGCCTTGGTAGTATCGTTGATCGCTGGTGCAATGTGCTTGGTGGACGGTCCTTCAGTCGGCGTCCGACCAGTCGTAGTTGTACTCGGTGTCAGTGGCGCGTCGCTTGTTGACACCAAACGCGTCATTCGCAACGGCGTTGCGAGCGGGCCGTCGCCGCCATGTGCCAAACTCACCGAGATGTACTTGCCTTTGGCGATCTGCTGGACCTTGCAGCGCGCAAACGTCGTGCCGAGAGCCGGCTTGGTGCCATGGTTCTTGACGTGTCGTCGCATCGTTGCTTCGTCATGCGCAAAGTAGACGCAGGCGGCGCGCGTACATCGGAAGCCGCGGGTCGATGGGTACAGAGGTAGTGCCGGAACTGGGTCTCCGCTTGGCGTTCGGTACGGCGAGGCTGCAATCGCTGTCGGGCTCGAGAGGTTGGACGCGACGAGCGCCTGCGTCACCTGCGCTTGGGGCACCGTCCGTGGAAATGGCTGGCTGCATGCGCCATACACATGCTCGATGATGCGCGGGACGTCGACGCTAAGAACGAGCTTGCACGGAACGCAGACGGCGAAGCGGACGTCGCCCGATTGCACGATCGCGAGCCGGTCGACCTGCAGCCGCATTTCGCTACAGAGTCGGCGGCGCGACCGGGGCGGCGCCGGCGTGTGCGGACGGCGCGGCGCCGGCGTGTGCGGACGGCGCGCATTGCTGGCTTCTCGAAGGGCAGCTGTGGCGCTGCAGAGCTCGGAGGTACCCGAGACGAGGCCGCGTGCAGGAAGCGGCGACGACTTTGCACTTGGCATCGCAGAGACGAGATGACTTGTTGTTCGTATCCACGAACTGTCTTGCGAGGGAATCGCTTTGATTGGTTTAAAAAGAGCATGCATGGCATTGGATTGGTGATAATCCAATCCAATGGGAACCCGAGCCCCAGCCTTCAACCATGCGCCTTCAACGCATTCGATCGCTTTCTGAGAGCTTTTCGAGCGTCCATTGGAGTATTTAGCTAGAGTTAGTAGTTTAGTAGCTACGAGTACTCGCTCGTAGCTACTAGCTACTACTAAACTACTAACTCTAGCGAAATACAGGGCCACATCTCGCACTGGTCGTATTGTCTATCGATGCTTGAACCGAATACAAGTACTAGTCGACACGATGTAGCTCAAGCCAACATGTAGAAGTGCGTGCATTACAAGGCCAGTGCAAAACTAAGAGGGATCATCGCCAGCCACAGCATCCTTGAGGCCTTGACGTTCGCACGGCTCATCGCTTCCGGCGGCCCCGGGTACGCATCGCCATAGCACGGGATCGGCGTGCTCTTCATCGCACTCAGCGCGTGCAGAAGAGCCAGTCGCATTTTTCGCTCGACGAATCGCAGGTCGCGTAGCATGTGCCAGTGCTGTCGCAGCCGTGGTTGTGGCCGCGTTTTGGCGCGCAAGCCAATGAAAAGCATTACAAGCATTTCTTATGCACCAATCAGGGCCCTTGAAAAATCTGATTGGGCAAAACGACTGCAGAGACAACGTTGGGACATTGTGGTACAAGCACTGTGTCGCAGTTGCG